TAAAAAAATATTTTAGTTGGGGCTAGAGAGAGAGCTGAACTGTTAAAAGCATTTTTAAGGCAAGTATGAGGGCTGGCGTTCAAATCCCATCACCCACATAACAAGCTGGGTGTTGTGTGCCTGCCTGTAACCCCAGCACTGAAGCAGGTAGAGACAAGCAGATCACTGGAGCTTGCTGGCTTCTAGCCTACCCAGAAAACACAAGCTCCAGGTTTAGGGAGAGGCCCTGCCTCAGAAGAATAGGGAGGGAGTGATAGAGGAGGACAGGTGATACCCACTCCGTAATACATACATGTACATGCACCATATTCACATTTATACACACATGCAGATACACAAAAAATAAAAAATTAAAACTCTTCAATTTTTTTTCTAAGTGTAAGTTTAATGGTGCTCCTTAGTGAAAAGATCTCACCACATTGCTTTATGCTATATAAACATTTTTTTGCTTTTTAATAATTTCTGAATGTGTAAGTATACATTTTATACTATTATAGATAATGGTCATAGAATTGGACTGAAATAACCATTATCCACTCTCCAGAATAATTTTGTCTTTATTAGTAAAAATTTATTTAGCACCTAAAATGTGGAAGGCACTAGACAAAGGAAAGTTTGCTACATACACACTAATCTCATGAATTCTATATTTTAATTATATTAACAGATCATTTATTTAAAAAATCATTATGAAGATATAACCATCCCATTTTTGAAAATAGGTGATGTATTATTTAACCATGTAATATAAGAGGACTTGCTCTAAAAGCTAAGCAAATAGCATAGGTAAAAATTGTTGTAAGAATTAAGAGGAGCCAGGTGTGGTGCTGCACACCTTCAATCTAGGCACTTAGGAGGCAGAGACAGGTGGATATCTATGAGACTGAGGCCAGCCTGGTCCTGGTCAGAAGTTCCCACTGTGAAAGAATGCAGGGATGAATATTATCAAAGTAAATCATATACATATATGGAAATGTTATAGTGAAGTCCATTATTTTGTACAACTAATATACTCTTATGAAAAATATGTTTTTTTAAAAAGTTCCCACTAAGTGTGGTAGTGCATGCCTTTAATCCCAGCACTCAGGAGGCAGAGCTGGTAGATCTCTGTGAGATAAAGGCCAGCCTGGTCTACATAGCAAGTTCCATGCCAGCTGGGGCTATGGGGAGACCCTGTCTCAAAAAAAAAAAAAAAAAAAACCAAAAAAAAAAAAATTTTTCCCAAAGCCAACTTCATCTCAGAGAAGGACTCTCAGAACCTCTATTTGTTCATATCTTCCCACCCTGGCTCCCTTAAGCTGAAAGGATACAAGAATAAATAAGCTAGGTATAAAGGCAGGAAGATATCTAATTTTTTCAGAGTCAATGAATAAGTCCTATTTAAACAGAGCAGAAAATTGTTTCTGTGCCTGTGTACAAGTGTTGGAAAGTGGGGATGATTTGTGTAGTAGATTAGAGGTAAGGTTGTAAAGTAAAGGTAGGTCGAGGTTAATGCCTTGAATATTAACTCAGAAGTTAGGACATTTTCTTGCGGGCAGTGGTTACATATTAAGATCTTTTAAACCAGGGTTTGGCATGTTTACACTTCCTTTCTGAAACATTAGTCTGGCAAAGAAACTGACTTAAAATGAAGGAATGTAGAAGTCAAGAAAATGTATAAGCCAGGATTTTTTTTTATAGTGAACATTTTCTAAGATTTTATTCTCAGATTGAAATATTTACATGCCATTTTCCTTGGAGTAGTTTTATGTTAGGAAGTATGTGTCTTCAGCCCTGTCCCCCTCCCCAGAGTGTTTGGCATTTAATTGTGGGTATGGCATTTATACTGTCTGGCTCCACCCATGAGTCATTGGAAATGATTGCTTTTGGGTACTCAGGATTCTCTTTTTCTTTTCCTATATTACAAACATACCAAACATATATCACACTAAAATGCATTCACTCATTAAAAAAAATACATCTACTATGACAAATTTTCCTATTCCATGAATTATTCAAGGAACAATTGGAACTAGTGAAGCATTGCTAATGCATTGAAGGAAAATATATCCCTTCAACTCTGAGTCAAAAATTGCTATAAATTTTCATATTATCCTTTATAAATTAGAAAATATGAATTTTGGGGGGCTTTTTGTTGAGACAGGGTTTCCCTGTAGCCCTGGGTGACCTCAAACTCACAATGAACACCAGCCTATAAGCCAGGACTTTTTAGAGTGGTAATGAAAGAAGGAAAGTGCAGTGCTAAATACTGTGGGAAGGGAGAAGTAAAAGGGTTTGATGACAGAAAATGGGAGAGGCATAATTTTGTTATGTACTCTTTTGTTAAAGATGTTAAAGATTTGAGTCTCCTATGTTACCATGTCTGTCTTAAAATTATGAATGGAAAATATGGAAGTGATTAAGTTTTAATAGAAATGCTACTTTTACACTTGATAGTTCCCCTTTTCTGTATTTGTTCCATTTTATCTCTCAGTGGGCTTGTGTGTATGTTACATATTATCACTTAATAAATACTTGTTAAGTGAATTAAGTTAACGTTTTAATCCTTCCATGTCATTTGAAAGATTTTTAGGGAAAAGAATAAGTGATAAAGTTTAGTAATTTAGTAGGTTGAATTTGCTATATTGCTATCTTAGCTGTTTTGATATTTGATATTCTTAATTGCAGAGTTGAAGGAAGTAGTAAAATTCAGTACAGAATAGGACATCAGCAGCAACAAATGTGGAATTCATCTAGGACTTCCAATCTTGTAAACCATTCTCCATCAGAAGATAAGATGTCTCCAACATCTCTAATGGATGATATTGAAAGAGGTAAAATCTAAATGTATATAATGTCATATTTTAAGGTAAGTAATGTTAAGTAAAAGTTTTCATTTTCATTAACAGTGGGACTAACCATGGGTTTAACAAGAGTATAATATGTTTTATGATTATGTGCTTTCCTGGACTAATAATGTGATAGATGAATCGGGTCAATTGGGAGAAAGCACCAGGACACAGACAAAACTCCAGCGGGATAGAGTTTATTAGCAGAGGAAAAGCACATGGAACAATCCCTTTGGGATAGGGAAGTTGTCAGCCCCCAGGCTGTTGGCTGGCGGTCTTTATAGGGGGGGTCTTTGGGGGATTCAGAAGGTGGGGATTTTTTTTTTAAAGTTAGGTGGGAGAGAGGGAGCCCAGGGCTTATTAGAACAGCTTCTGTAAAACCATCCCCTTCTGTCCCCTTCCGTCAGCCAGGATCTGGGTTATGGGGTAAGGAGTCTATATGTTGTAAAACTTATCAGGGGGAAATAGCTTGTACCAAGACAGTTCCTACATTAATGGATCCAGAGTGCAGGAGCCTATTGTGCTTCCAAGATCATCAAAGAGGAAGCAAGCTGTCCTTGACCAAAAGGTGAAGAGAGTCTGCTTATCTTGTCTTCCAAGATCATCAAGGGGGAAGCAGGCTGCCTTTGACCAAAAGGTGCAGAGAGCCTGCTTCTCTTGTCTTCAAAGACCAAGGTGCTCATTAACTCAGTTCCTGCATTCTCAGGGGCTTGCAAAGCCATGAGGCCCTGTTGGGGAGGGGGCTGCTTCAGATCCGAATCCTAACATTGCAGCCTTTTGTGTTATAGGATATGGGGCACCGTTGTCATCTTGCTACTTCCTGCTGGACAAGGTCGACATGGGGGGCTGGATTAGGGTGTCTGTCAGACAGTGGGGGTTCCCTCCTTCTGCATCTGACCAGGGTTCTCGATGGTTGACAGTGCTCATATACATGTGGAGGGAAGGAAAGTAACAGCTGATTAAAATTAGTATGAGTTAGTTTTTGGATTTGTTCCTGAAAATATCTGAAGAGGCAAGGAGCAATGGTTAGCACCAAGGTAATAGAAATCAGGGGGCTGAGTAAGGGCAGAAGCCAGGGAGTTAAGCCTTAAAAATATCCCATTGAGGTAACTGCTGGTACTGGGAATTCTTAAGTGAAAGATCCTTGGCTACCTACTGGAGGATGCTTGACCTTACCCAATTGCTTGACTACTGCAGCATTCTTCACCCAAGAAAATACAGGCTCCCCCTTTTTCTGCAGTTAGTAGGTCCAGGGCTTGCCTGTTCTGGAGGGAAACTTTGGCTAGGGAGGATAGTTGCTGTTGTAAGATCTGGATTGACTGGGCTGTAGTTTCCACTGTTGGGGTGAGTTCCCATCTGAGGTCCTCTATTTCCTGGGAGAGATGCTGGGTTGAGATCAGCATGTGTCCCAAACCTCTGGCTGTGAGTCCAGTGGCTGCTACTGATGTTCCCAGGCTAATTCCTACTAGGACTGCCAAGGTGGCTGACCTCCTTGTTCTGGTCCCTTCTTTCCCTGTGAATAAGACATCATACACCTCTCCCAGTGTGTATAGGGTTAGTTTGAGTATGAGAATGACTGGAGAGTAGGTGTCCTCAATCTGTGGAGAGATGCAGGAGTATATTTTGGAAGAACAGAGAAAGAGTAGTCCCAAGGTTAGAGCAGTATTGCCCTTAATTGTGATATTATGGCTTGATGGATGTGGGCATTTGGAGTTTTGTGGAGTCCAACACTGTTTTGTTAAGAAAAAGGGGAGGGGCAGGCAGGGTCATTGTATTAGGGGTTCTTGGGAACATTGATTATTAGCCTGGGAAGTAATATTGTAAACTAGGAGGGGGATGAGAAGTGAGCTCTGTAGGGGGGCACAGAGGAAGCAAGTGGACAGATTAGTACTAGAGAAATTCCTTGGGAGATTTAGAGATAGAGTGAGAACTCAATCCCGAGAGAAGCTGAAGGAGGCATTGAGGTGTTGAAGTTTCTTCATTGTCAGGCCTGTTGCCTGATCCAGGACTTCCATAGCCCATTGGGGCCATGAGTCCTGGATTGCCCTTTTTATCTTTACTTGCCAGCAGTCTATGGCAGCAGCTGTGTATTGGATCCCTGCTGTAGCAATGTGGTCCCCCATCCATGAGTGTGGGTCAAGTATTTTGAAGGTCACTTCCCCACAGACTCTGTGTTTGTACCGATTGTGTCTGTGTAGGATTGAATCTCTGCTGCACTTACGGTCTGTCATGTTGGCTACCCAAGGGAGTTGGTTTGTGCCTATTCCATATCTACCCCATCTCTCTTTACCCACCCCACTCAGCCAATGATAGTTGCATTTCCATGAAGGGCAGCCTTCCCAATTGCCCAGATCCCTGCATTCCTTTTTGGTTTGATCATCTATGAAGCACAGGAATTTGCCATAGCGGGCATCTATCATTTCAAATTTAAGGGAAACAATGTTACATGAAGAAAGTGAGCTCGTAGTAGAGCTAAGGAACTCCAGTTCTCGGTTTCTATTATTAATCTTCCACATTTCAAAATTTATAGGAACACCATGGGTAGGTGCAGTGGGGAATGGCTGAGGTAGGATTCAGAGGGAAGACTAGAAGTAGGGTCAGTAGAAAACTCATTCCTGGATTGGTGTTAAGGGAGGGGCCCTCGAGATTTTCAATTTAAGGGGCCCGATACTGGTGGCCTGGTACTTGCTGTGTTCCTTGGCCAGTTTTAATTTGGAGAGATGAATCCAACCAGATTGTCCTGAGAGCTTGGCTGCTGTCAGGGTAGACAAGATCACCAGGTGAGGACCGGTCCAACACAGTTGGAGGGTTTCCTTCACTCCTTTCTGCTGGGTGTGAACCTGCAGGTAGGCGTGATCTCCAGGTTGAAGTGGGTGGTCAGTTTGACCTTTAGAAGCCTGAGGAATAATCCAGTCAGCATATTCCCTGAGTAGTTTTCTTAGAAGGGTGAAGGCAGGTAAATAGTCATGTAGAGGGGAGGGATGTTGGAGTAAGAGGTCGTTGAGGAGAAAGGGTCTCCTATACATGAATTCAAAAGGACTGAGGAAGAAAGGAGCTCTTGGGATGGCTCTTAGTTTTGTAAGGGAAAAGGACAGGAGGGTTACTCAGGATTGGTGTAACTCTAGGAAGAGTTTAGTAAGGTGGTCCTTAAAGAAGGGAGCTATCTCATTCTACCTTCCCTGAGGATTGAGGGTGGTAGGGGATGTGTAACCTCCAGGTTATTCCCAGGAACTGAGAGACTGCCTGAGTTACTTTGGAGATAAAGCCCAGACCATTATTTAATTGGAAGGTGAGGGGAAGGCCCAAATGAGGAAGAATATTTTGACTTAAAAAGTTAGCCATTATATCTGCTGTTTCAACTGTTGTGGGAAAAGCTTCTACCCATCCTGAGAATGTACCTACCCAAGCCAGGAGATGCTTAATTTTTTTGTGAGTAGGCATGTGGGTAAAGTCTATCTGCCATTCGACTCCTGGGAGGGCCCCCCAGTGCTGGTGAGGTTTGAAAGATGAGGAGGGTGGCTTCCACACTGTGGGGAAACAACCAGATAGAACATTGCCTGGTGGCCTCTGTGAGGAGCACAAAAAGTTTGGGGCAATAGATGAGGGGCTCCAGGAACTTGTAGAGCAGATGAGCACCTACATGAAAAAGATTATGTAAATGGGTTAAGATAGAGGAGGTTTGTCCTCTGGCCTCTGGATGGCCCTTTGTCTGGGAGGCTCCTGCATTGTTGGGGAGGGTAGGAGGGGGACATTCCTGTTGGCGCCAAGAAGTTTAAACCATCAGAAGGGCAGAGGGTCATACTAGCTTCCTTAGCTGTCTCGTCTGCCAGGTTATTGCCTGTAGCTATGGGGTCAGTGAGAGGCTGATGCCTTGTACAGTGGATCACAGACACTTTAGTCAGGAAGTAGGAAGCTTCCAGGAGTTTAAGAATCAAAGGGCCATTAGTTATGGGGATTCCCTTGGTTTTTTGGAGACTCCTTTCCTTCCATACTGAGACGTGGTGATGGAGTACGTGGAAGGCATACATAGAATCCATAAAAATATTAACTGCCTTCCCCTTGGCTAAAATAAGGGCCCTGGTGAGTGCCACAAGTTCGGCTTTTTGTGACATGGTTCCACATGGCAGGGGTTCTGACTTGATGACATCTGTGAGAGACACTATGGCATACCCTGCCCTGCAGGACCCCGTTGGAGTGAGAGTTGAACTTCCATCCACAAACCAAGTCAGGGTTGGGTTAGGTAAGGGGTCTGGGGAGATTAGTGGATCCCAATAGGAGAGTCCCTGAAGAGTTTCCAAGCACGAGTGAGTGAGCAGTTCACTAGAAGAGATGAGGGAAACTGGATTGAGAGGAGGGCAGGAGTCAGGGGTGAGGGAGGGGTTTTCAAGAAACATGACATGGAAGAGTTGTAGTTTAGAGGAGGCTAGATTGGCAAGAGATGTGTGGGTTAGTAAATCCTTAAGCCGATGGGGAGAAAGGACGGAGATGGGATGACCCAAAGTGAGCTTAAGTCCCTCCTGAGCCAGGAGGGTGGCGGTGGCCAGAGCTTGGAGACAAGGTTGCCACCCCCAGATGGTGGTATCGAGTTGTTTAGAGATATAAGCTACTGGGGCAAAAGTGGGACCCCCTCATCTTTCCCCAAACCCTTAATGCCTGGAGCTTGTTCTCAGTTGTATAGAGGAGGAATGGAGATCCCAGGTTGGGGAGAGCTACAACCAGTGCCTTTAACAGCACTTCCCAGATAGTGTGGAAGGCTGTTGTTACAGGCCCTAGAGGCTCAACAGGCTTAGGGGAGTTTCCTTTGGAGGCTTCATAGAGTGGCTTTGCCAGGAGGGAAAAGTTAGGGATCAATGGGTGTGGGTACCCCATAATGCCTAGGAAAGACTGAATTTCCTCCTTGGTTGGGGGGTTGCTTTAAAGACTTTAGGTAATTTGTCTTATCTACCGTTAAACGGTGGGATGTAGGTATGAGAAGGAACCTCAGG